GGTTTGTTTTCCTCCTCCCCTCCCCCCCCCCCCCCGCCGCTCCGGCTCGGGGCAGGTTTGTTTTCCTCCTCCCTCCCCCCCCCCCTTTGCTGCTCCGGCTGGGCGTTTTTTGCTTGGGGCGGCAAAAAAGCCAGAGCCGGCCCTGTTCACAGCAGAACTCTGCCATCTTACAACACACTTGCTTGATGTGTGTGAATGATCTGCGCCTTCTGTTACAGCAATAACAGTACTTATTTTTGTTAGCAGGCAGCCAAAAACAGATGATTTAAGCCACACTGCTTGCCTAGCATGGCTGTTTTCTTAAATGCTCGCTTTCAGTGATGGTCTTTTAACCCACTTTTTTTGGGCTCATCTGTGGTGTTGCTTTGACTTCAAGACTGGGAACTAGGGTTAACAAAATAAAACTGGGACTTCAGTGTCTAGGACAGACTAATCAGAAAATGGGAGAGGATGTCACTTAGATAACATCACATAAATCTTTCCAAATAATCAGTTTTTGAAAGCTCTGACTGACTGATTTGGGTTCCTTTGACCCTTCCCTGACCTGGTTGATTTCACTGTGTTATCATAAACACCACATTATGGTTCAGCCAGTTTCTATTTCAATCATCTCTCTCATTGTTTGGAAAATCATGAAGATTTGGTGATTTAGGGACATATTGTACTCTCTGCAATCACAGGCTACTGGGATCCAGAGGATTGGATGGTCCAGGCGTGAGCAGTGCCACCTCCACAGCAACATATCCCCACCTTCCCTCCCCACCACGGAAGGCCCTTAGTGGGAGGCAGGAGAGGACCTGTGGCCAGGGAGACATCACTCACTGTCATCTCATGGACTTTTCATGGATAATCTTACACTGCTCCACTTTTTCCCTCCGTGCCACTGAACTCCCTCTTCAGTGGGGAAGCCCCTGTCAGCAAAGGCTCATACTGACAGGGTGCTGGAAGGAGCAGAGGCGCAGCAACTGTGCCAGGGTGACTTCATGTCTCTGGATTCACGAAAATCTCTGGCAGCTGCTGGTTTTGGTGGCAGACCTCTGTGCACAAGGGGGAGGGGCAATTTTGAGTAGGTCCTGTGAGTGCTACCATAATGTAAATGTTACTACTATGGCTTCTTCAGTGGGGCAAAGAAAGAATGTGATCGAAACTCCAAGAGGGGAAAATTTTCCAGACCTTCTTATGCATTGGAGTTGCCTGTACAGGAAGTTATGTTGTCACTGTGACCAAAGTTGTGTATGTTCTCATTGCAATACTTCAGCTACCTCACTGGTACAAGAGACATGAAGTGGTCAGACCATGATACCCAAAATACACAGTCAAGAGAAATAATCTGCATCACACCACAGGATATGTTATAATCTTCCATAACCCAACACTTTATTTAAAAATTACATCACAATGAGAGTCTGTTAATAAAATACACTAATTCACACCAGTCTGCATTGCCCTCTTACTTGTTTTTTTTTTAGGGTTAGCATCTTTCTTCACTTTATTAAAAACTCAATAGTGTTAAAAAATAACTACTGCATTGTACCTACAGCAGCTGATATCTACTGTAACAGGCAGGTTACAGAGGAAACTTCCAGAGCTAATTAAACACTTCAGTTAAACTCATATTTTTGGCACCATTAATTTTTTTTAATTAAACCAAGCAAAGTACTTCCATATTAAGCCAGTAAAATCACTGATCTGAAACATGGCAGTGATTGTCATGCAACTGCTGTCTAGAAATGTGTAAAAATGCTTCTTTTGGTTTAAAAAATAGGAATTCTGAGTTATTTGTATGTCACAGCACTTGACTGTGATTACAGAACAGGGCCAGCCCTACTGTACTGTAGCTATTATCATTTTGCTGTGAAGTTTGGTTAACATGTCAGTCTGCGGTTCTTTTAAGCGGCCATTGATGACTTTTTTACCTTTGGTAACAGAGTCAGAATTTAAAAATCTGTCAGAAGATTGGGGGGAGGGGTGGGAGGGAGGAAACATTATTTTCTCTCAGTCATGCTGCTGTTTGGATGAAACCATTGGCTACAATTTCAATTAGTTTTTGGGGAAAGCAATGCCACACAATGCTTTGGCGGTTTACTGGCAGCCAATTATCATCTTACTAATGAGACTTTAAAACATTAAGAGCGCTGAAGCACTGCGATTCACTGGTCAAGTCTTGATTTGTCTTCCCTGAAATGATGGCTAACTGCAGCTACAAAAATGCACTGAGAAAGAATGTTTCATTAATAATAGTAGATTTGTACCAGGGCCATGTTTATACAAGCGTGTGCAGTTAGTTGCTTTTGCAAATTTTTAGAATCTACAGACTGGGGGGCAGGGAGGTTTTGTGTTGTTTTTTTTTAACTTTATAAACTTCAGCTGCTTCTAGAGTCACATATTATCACTCAAAATGAAATGAAACCTAAGCTATATATAACTGGTTTTTTTCTGGCTCCTGAACTGTACTATTTCAATCAGTTTTTGGCACATTAAGTAGTGATTGTTGTATGTTTCACTGATTGCAGGTTCCATTGTACTAGTATTTATTCTGAAAAACTTCTATTGTATCACTCACTTCCCTCCTGCCCCAATTACTCTGGGAAACAAAAAGGAATGTGACTACACTGTTATGGATAAAAAAGGTTTTAATTAGAATAAGGCCTATAAGCATCTTAGGGCTGCTGGTTACAAAAAAGGACAAAGATTTACATTGTAACTGCAATAGTGTCTGGTTTTTTTTCTGAGGGGAATGTAAAGTTGTTCTGGCTATCACAGAAATGTTTCATGCTCTTTTTCTTTTTTTAAAGCCTCATTCAGGCGAAAGAACTAATTATTTACTTTTTTTTTTTAACTGATGAGCTCTCTTTCTGCCCCTGCTCTTAAAGGGGCCGATCCTTTCCATTGACTTCAATGGGCATTGGAGCAGGCCAAAACTGCAAGGCGTAAGCTCTGACTTAGCTGTTTCTCACAAACATACTCATTGAAGAAAGGACCACAGGACCCTTGCAGGGAGAAAGAGAGAAATTACTTAAGGAAACAATGGAACAGTAATTGACAGGGAGGTTTGAAATTCATGGTAATAGAACACTTCAAGGCTTGTGTAATGTAATCAATGTCCCTAACAGGTAACCCTGGTAGGGTGACCAGATGTCCCGATTTTATAGGGACAGTCCCAATATCTGGGTCTTTTTCTTATATAGGCTCCTATTACCCCTGTCCCGATTTTTCACATTTGCTGTCTGGTCACCCTAAACCCTGGCAAAACCCCCAACGCCCTAAGGGTAAAAATCACCTCTCAAATTCACACTGAGAATTTGTCATCTACATGGATCTCCGCTGCATATTCAGAATTTATTCTGCACACACGGCTCCTATTAAAGTCAATGGGAGTCCTGCGGGAGGAACAAGTGCAGAATATACAATAGTGCAGTTGAAAACGTTTTTAGCGTGGATCAGTCAATCTATATAGTGGAAAGCGAGAGCAAAACTATATGGAGATATCAAGAGTCTCCTTAAGAACAGATGAAATCTCTGTTAAGGTGGGACAGACAGAAGACCTATAGGAATTCCACATGCGTATAGTGCAACTTACACTAATTTGAGAAGTAGCAGGTGGAGAAGCAGCATGTTGGCCATGTACCATAGAGTGTGTTTTAATAGGCAACTGTGGCATGGAGTAAAATTTTGGCTGAAATAAATGAAAGTGGGAATAAAGTACAATATATCAGCAAGGTAAATTCTGGTTCTTGGGATATTTTCACTCTCTTTTAAAATGGATTTATACATGAACTTTGAAAGCTGCAGTGTCTAGGTTTGCCAAACTTCATTGTAGTGTATTCCCCACATTTAATATACAAAAAAGAACTCAAGGCTGAGAGCAGTGAGGCATAAACCTGGGAAATAACACAGGAAGGGTAAGTAGTAGTTAGTATGTTGCTTAATTGGAGTCACTTAGCACTTATTTTTGCCTTTTTGGACAAAAACATCCCAAACTGTGTTTACCACATTCTCTCCCCCCACTTCCTTTTGAATAGAGTTGTCCGTGCTATAGCGATACAGTCACTCAAGAATATACTGGGAAGACAGATAAAAATACAAAATACAAAACAAAAATGCATTCTACTATTATAGTACTTGAGTAATGGAGTCAATGTCAGACTTAGGCTACTGCCAGACCGATGCACTTTTTGGGGAACTGGTTCAAGAGAATCAAGCTGAGCCACTGTACAGGAACCAAACACAAACTAGCATTATTAGGCAAGGGTAAGAATCGAGAGGGAGATTTTTTCAGGGTGCACAGATAGAAGAGATGGCTGTCAGATGTGAGAATGTGCTTTCCCGTTGTACCCATCAGAACCTCGGAGCATATTTTTTTCAGTCTGTATCTATCGTTTTGTGGCAGGTCCTTGAAATATCTTCACATTTGGCCATCGTGCATGCTTATAAACTTACCCCATTTCTCCTTTTGTTAGGCTATGATTTCTTTATTTTTTAAAAACATTTTTAATTTTTTTAACAACTGTTAAAAAAGTTTTATGGTAAAAATAACTCACTATATGATACATATACCCGAAATGGTGTGATACTTTATATAATAAAAGATGAAAATATTCACTTTCCATAATAAAAATAAGTTCTATTTTTTGTTTATTTTACAATATACTTAATATTCTTTTCTTCTTCTTCTTCACGCTGAAAGTAAATAGTCCCATTTTGAGAGCACTTCGGAGTCGATTAAAGTGGCAAGAGACTGGAGAATGGCTTATAAGCATTTTGAGCAGCCGCATTCCACATGCCTCTCCAGTTCTTCCATGAAGGAGGATCCATCCACACACTGAAAGATGTATTTCCGCCTTTTGCTCCGGAGGGGAACGCAACACTGCCCATTACTGCAACTGCCACGACATTCCATCTGGGGAACTTTGGAGGCAGTGACACACGAGGTGTAGCCATGCTGCTTATGGATCACTTCTCGGACAATCTCCCCTTGGCAAAGATTCTCTGTTAAGCCAATGGAGACAATAGAGAGAGGTTTGTAAGAGATTATAATTTAAAGATGCTCCCTCATAAGGGACAGTATTATAAACATAGGATTTTGGAGATGTGCCCTGGAGGCAGGGGTTGGGAACACCGCATGGCTGTGCGTAGCAGTTCACCAGAGACGCTCCCCAGTTTGCGTTATTAAAGTTTTATTCCTTTCTCATTCACTGGCTTGTTACTTAATGAACCCCTAGAATGTTAGAGAGAGGAAGGATGGAGAAGGTGATAATTATCTTGTAACTCCCTCCCCACCAAACAGCCCTGTGCATGTACTGATATTTATTTTATTAAAGGCAAACAACAGTGCACAGGGTCTCCATTCTCCACTGCTTTGTACGAGGTGTAAAATGCTATCAGGACAGAATAGTACTCTCTTTGTGCAGGTATGTATTTATACAAGGCATTGTAGAATCAGGCCTGTTGCCTTCAACAGAACTGGAGATGCTTTAACAAACAATAGTTATTTAAGCTTCCAACATCCCTGTAAAGTATATATTATTCCCATATTAGATGGAAAATGAAAAAAAATATATGAATAGTAAGACCATTATTAGCCATGGGAATGGTTTAATGGCATGAGACTTACATTTGAAACACTTAAGCTCCCTCGAGCCACGGATACAAATCTTGGTAAGGTCGATCTGTCCTTACATCCTTTCAGATTAGATATATGGAGTTCCATGCAGCGTGCTCTGTGTAGGTCTTTAGAGGAGATCCTCAAACCCAACATTCAGCCTACTCTGTATGAACTTTAATAATCTGGGGTTTGCCCAAGTATACTTGGCAACATTTCCTGTCCTAACCTATTGTGCAGTCACTGTGCAGCAGTCAGATTCATGGAATTTGCAAAGACTGTGATCCTTTTAGATGAAAGCTGCTACCTAAATAAAACATTATGGGCCAAACTGCTGCTTTTGTAGGGGAACAAAGGAAGGACTAGAAGACTGAGTTATAACTTTCTGAGTTTCTAATAGGCCATTTAATTTGGGGGCAAAACAGGTGTGGAAAAGATAGGGGGCTTGGCCTCCCCAAAAGCCAATAGGAATACAGGAAAAGCTAAGAATTTTCCTTGAGACCCGATTTCAAACCTGTACAGCTCAGGAGAGGGAAGGAATGAGGGCAACTCACATTACTCATCCTACACAGCATGGTTCCTAAAGGAGCAGTGCTTCCTGGGAATTCTGCCTTTGCCTTTCTGTACTTCCCCATTGTGGATGTGGTTCAGTGTGCTGGGGGGAATTTTCATCCCCAATAATGCAGTGAGGACAATCCTTGTAGTGTATGAAGGGAAAGATGCCACAGAAAAGCACCCACATCCCAAGCCCTCTCCACTCACACATCCCACTCAGAAACAACAGAACTACAAACTTCCAGGATTCAGGAGGAACAGAGCTATTATCATAGATCTACCCTTTTCTACACATTCAGACATCTTCTGGGCAGCTCTTGTGTGGTTTCCCTCTCCTCCTCCATCAATGGTTCTGAAGGGGCCATTGTCCCATTAATAAGCGTTAAATGGAGGAAGAGTGAAGACAAACGTGAATAGAAATGACAGCAAATCACAATCCAAGGCACTGTAGCCAGGCATACCTTTGTCGCAATGTTCTCCGCTATAGTTAGGGTCACATTCGCAGTATGGCTCCCCATGTTCTGAAATTTTACACTGCCCATGGTTGCATTTCATAATTCTGCAGGGGTTTGAGGAGTCATTCTTCTTGTCGCAGTACATGCCCATATAACCCTCTGAGCACTTACATGTGTAAGCAAAGTTGGCAGCCGTGCATTTACCATGGATACACCTGAGAAAGAAGAAAAGTTTAGAGCTGGCTTATGCTTGTGAGGTTTGAATTAGGGCAGGAAGAGACCTCAATTTTTCCAGGAATGTTTACTTTGGATGTCTTAGCTCCCACTCAATTTCTGGCCAATATTCTAAAGCAAAGAAGTTCAGTGCCAGGCATGCTGGCAGAAACGGCAAGTGGATATTGGATCATATTCACAGATAGCAAATTCTGAATTTAGTGATCATGAAATGTTCTCATGGGAAACCTGAGTAAGGGTTAGGCTCATTCAATCATGGATCAAACAATACAATTTATCCAAACAAAACAGCTCAGATTCAGAGTATCAATACTTGAAACAAACTCCTTGTGAACAATCCACATGTCAAAGCGTATTTGGAAAAATTATTCTACCGATTACCTCACATGATGAATAAATGCGAGGAAAATTGCTATCTATCTGTGGAATTTGTGGACAAAAAAAGAGGCTAAATTACTCCAAAAACTTGACTCAGTTCTAGTTGAATGGTTTCACGATACAGGGTCCTACAGTGGGATTTGGTATTTCTGGAGAGGTGATGCATGATGAAGAACTGCAATAGATCCCCATTCAGTGGGTGGATGAAGGCTCAGACTGTGGAAGCAGGGCGAGGAGATAAAGGTGGCATCTTTATGCCAGGGGATGCCATCCAGCGGTACAAACATTTCATATATACAAAGCCCTCGCTTATATACATTTTCCCATTTGTTATTTTTAATCCTGGCATTTTAAATTATTTCCCATTAAAAAAAAATGTTTATTTTAACCCTTGCCAGTTTCATATGTGTGCAAAATAGGCAAAAATAAAAAAACAAGGAATAATAAAAGCAACGATGAGGTCAGGATACAGAAAAAAAGGGTAATTAAGTGGATTCACATTATTTAAAATAAGGCATTTTCAACAACACTAAACTAACTCCTGCTCCTGGATCAGTAACCCTTATTACTCACCCCCCCGACACACCATCTTCTCCTCAGTCTGTATTACCATGTCTCCACTTAGATTGTAAACTCTTTCATGTGAAGATCATGTCTCTGTCTGCAGGGCGGTCCTTAGGATTTATGGTGTCCTAGGCGGGATTATTAAACTGGTGCCTCTGTGCCTGACTTGCTCTTAGCAACACAAACATAAGCTTATAGTATTGGAAAACTTGCCACATGCACGTTATTAAAACCAGTTTAACTTAATTAAGCACACTGTAATGCTGATGGACTAGCACTAAAGAAGTAACACTATAGAAAAAATTCTGATTTGACAGAATGATGCCAATAATACGATTTTTTAAATTTGTCAACATTTTATTGGAAATTTATATGAAGAGGTATTGAAACAAGGATTTGTTTTTAATTAACAGCCATCTTTCAGGCTTTTTGGGCTGAAAAATCAGTAATAATGTCATCGTATGACAAAGACAAAGTGATGTCTTGTTCGACTGCAAGAATAGCAAGACCAGTCAAGCGTTCCTGACTCATTGTAGAGCGGAGATAGTTTTTAATGAGCTTTAGTTTTGAGAAACTCCATTCTCCTGATGCTACTGTTACAGGAATTGTTAGTAGAATACGAGTGGCAATGTACACATTAGGATATATGTCAACAAGTTTGCTGGTATGAATAAACTGTACAATGTCCATCACCGATTTTGCATGTGTCAACATTGATGACAGTGTACTCATTTCTTCGTACAGTTCAAGTCCATTTAAATCAAAACTATCACCGTGCTTCAGGAGGCTCTCTACGTTCTTGCACTTTGTCATTAGTTGCTCTTGTTTTCCTATTTTGTTGAATTTAGTTATGTCATACAAAAATCCAAACTGTTCATGGTGTACTTGTAAGGTATTAAACCTTTCATCAACAGCAGATATTGCTTTATCCATCACAACATTAAAAAATTCAACCTCAAATTTCTTTTCTGGATCGTCTATGGACTCATCTGCTCCTTCATATTCCGCTTGCCATTTTTTCCTTGAAACTCGTGTCATATTCGGACACACCGAATGCCTGTGCAAGCTCTCTTGCTGTAACCTGTGCTTCTTTGGATCCATTTTCTCTGTATTTCACTAACAAGTCTCGTGTGTTGTTTAGTAAGTGTTGAATCAAGCTGCATCATTGGACTCTGCATTATTTTGCTTATACTTGAGATTTTAACAAGAATGTCATACCAGATTACAACAGACGTTAGAAACTTGAAGCTGGATATTTCAGAGGCCAATGGCTGTGCTTCACTTTTAGCTTTTGGATCTCTGGCTTCTTCCGAAGTAGCAACCAGTGCTTCGTAAACTTCCTCAGATTGATATCTCAACATTTTTACACTTTCTACTCTGCTTTCCCAGCGTGTCTCAGATAGAGGCTTAACGATAATAGCTTTGACATGTGCTTTGAATATTTGCCATCGTTGAGTGAAGCTGAAAAGAGCACGTAAATGTGTTGCAGCAAACCATAAAAAGATATAGCTTCTACAGAAGACTTGGCCATATCACACAAAATCAAATTAAGACTGTGGCATGCACACGGAACAAAAAAGGCTCATGGATTTTCTCTCAGCAATCTAGCTTGCATGCCAGAAATGCATCCTCTCATATTGGCACCATTATCATAGCCTTGTCCTCTAATGTTCATTACGGACAATCCCATTCGTTTTAGTTCATCAAGGAGAGCTTGAAGAAGTCCAAAACCTGTAGTGTCTTCTACTTCTAAAAATGTGATAAATGATTCCTTAACTGTAATCTGTGCTGAATCACTAATGTTGACAAATCTCACTACTAACAACATTTGTTCTTGATGACTTATGTCCGGAGTGCAATCTAGAATTACGGCAAAATATTTTGCCAAAGTAACCCATGAAACAATTTTGTCTCTCACTTTATCACTCATTAGCATGATCAGTTCATTTTGAATTCTTGGTCCCAAATAGTGGTCATGTATTTCATTTTCAGTTACTCTTCGGACATGTTCACTCATCACTGTGTCAAATTTTCCCAGCAGTTGTACAAGGCCCAAAAAATTGCCATTTTGGGCTGGAATAATTTCTCAATGCTTCCTCTAAAAGCAAGATTGTTTGATGATAGATACTCAACAATAGATAATAGACGTTCAAGAACACGACACCAATGCTGCTTCTCTGACTCCAGCAATCTTTGATTTTGGGCATCAAGAGTTGTCTGATCTTTTAACCTTACACTCAGCTCACACCATTTGTGCATACTTTCAAAGTGGTGTTGTGCCTTTTCATGTTGCGGTAATATGTGACTAAGATTTTTCCAATCATTAATACCCATGGTTGCTATCTTAAAATTGCAACTATTGAAAATCTTGCATGGGAAACAAAATACAGCATCCTTGCATTT